GGGGGGGGGGGGGGGGGGGGGGGGGGGGGGGGGGGGGGCGTTGGGAGTCTCTTTCAATAGGGCGCCAAAATAGCTAGGGCCAACCCTGAATCCAACATAATGTCTTGTGTTTCTGTGACTCTTATGAAATGCTTATAAATCATGGTGAGTCTTCCTGCAGTTGGGATATCACTTTGCTATGCCGATCTGAGGAATTCGTAACGGGCAAGCGTAAATTAAATCGTGACTCTTTCGTGTCATTTGCAGGCCTAGCCAAGCTTGCTCTCCCAGTCTTTTGCATATCCAGTTGCAGCAAGAAGGTGCAGGTAGGAGCTTAGTACATGGAAAACGCGTATACTTAGTATTACGTACGAAATGATTGGAAATAGCAATTTCGGAAGAGAGAGGGAATGGGAAGAAATGAACCAATATGGCGCCTGCGTGATGACGAGTCAAGAACTTCTTTATCTAGGTCCTTGGTTCGACGTTGGTCGGTGCAAACATCACCTTTCCTTGACTGCGTTCACCGCTTCCTTGACCCTTGACCGCCACACACCCATCTTAGCTCTGAGACGTGATCTTCCTCGATGGTCAACGCCATGGAAGAGCGTGTTCGGTTACGTTGTATTCAGGCATGGAGTGGCGCATTCTCGACCTCTAGGCAAAGGATGATGAAAAGGGAAAGGGAAAGGAAGGAAAGGCACTCCTATGCTATTCCGTGCATTCCCGATCCGACTCGATCGCCTTGATCGCATCACGCCCACTGAGCTCTTCGTTGTCATCTTCACCCCCGCTCCCTGTGACCAGCTGTGTGTGATCCGAGCGAATTTACTGTAGCGTTGATCCCTTGGAGACTTGCATCGCGAGCGCAGCCAGTGCATGGGCCGGTGGACCTGCCGGAGAGTCTCCGATTTGAAGCCATTTCAGGAACGAGTGGCATTTGCCAGTCTCCCGCCGAGCGGGGACCTGCTGACGGCACTTTCCCGTTTCCCCAACGCGATACCTGCTCCCCGGCACCTTAGTTACTCGTCCCCGTTACCGGTCGAGGATCAAATTTTCTTAGAGGATGCACGTTTGAGAGCCTGTTTATCTCTTGTGTCGTAGAAAATCCATTTCCTTAGCTCTCTTATAGGAGATAAGGGAATGGACGGGACTCAGCATCCGTGTGGCTCCAGCATTATTGCCGAGAATGGTTACATGGCTGTCATGGCTACCATCAGTCCACATGCTTTTTTTTAGACGTGGACTTAACTCATTTGTCCCAGAGTTGTATCACTTGTATACGAGAATTAAACACTTCCATAATGTAGTACTGATGTATGTGCATTCAAATATCTGAAATGTAAAAGAGAACTAACCGAAATACTTTGAAAGAAAAGTACTTTCAGGCACTGCCCGAGCTGCCGATTTTGGCAAGCCTTATTTTTATGTGGTAAAGGGAACTGACAGGCAGCGGAAACAGCAGCTTGCACATGGGAGAATGGGTGCATTCAGAAGATTTAAAAGAAGTTCCTTGAAAAGTGGATCCACGGAATGAAGCAATCCTTGATTACTTCTCGCGAACGGACTATGCGGGACCTCTTTCGTCGATGGGGAATGTCTCTGCAACATATCTTCGCTTCTTTTCCAATGCTGGGTTGATTAACAAATCCTACTCTTTTTTTTCTGCTTTCTCTGGTGCTTCTTTTGACGAAACACGGGCAGGATTTCATCCCTGATGATGGCTCAAAGGCATCTTTTCTACGTTCCATTGCAGAATGCTCGCGTGGAGATCGAAGCAGTGGCGATAACCGGTGAAGTCTTGGAAGTCCCGCCGAGCAAGCAGTGATCTCTCTTCGCTAGTCCATTTCGTGTGTCCATACGGTAGCCTGGAAATATTTCATGATACTATTTGGTTGTTTGAGCAATTCCAATGTGCAAGACTTTCGTGGCGTTTTATTTCCAGAATCGCTGAATCAAAGCTGAAAAAAGAGGATTCCGAGTAATTTCCTCTCGACGAACCCGATTTCAACGTAACACTTCCAAAGGTTGATTTCCAGAACTTAGAGACGCAGCACCACCTACAAAGTAGGTGGTGCTGGTCCTCTCCTGAGTCTTGCTCTGTTCTCAAGAATTAAATTGACGACTACCATGGAACCCAATTTCGCCGAGGCGAAGAGGCTCGTGTGATCCAATGACTAAAGACACAAGATCAGGGAGGTCTATGGGTAGGATTCCGGCTCAGTGCGTTCCCCTCGCCAAACCGCAATCACCAGTGTGGGTGTTGTATTCTGACAACAACCCTTGTGACGAGAAGCGGAGCGTTCCTTTCTACCCCAGAAACTCTGGAATTACCAGCTACGATGAGGGAGATAAAATCGCATGGAATGCTGATAATCTCTGGGTAGGGAAAGGCCACTTATTGGGCTTCACAATCGTCACGTACACAATGTCACATCTGCAAGAATCGCGTCACAGAAAATAGATTCGACGAAGTCAGAATTAGTGTGTATCCGGTCGACTACAGGAGTATAAACATATACCATAGGATACAGGAGGCAGGCAATTACGATGGAGACGGGTTCCACTTTTCTCCAGTAATGCGAGGAATTGATCAACTCATGGAAGATGATAATAATTACCTAAATTCAATGGGAGTCTGCGATACAGAGGAGAGAAAGAAGGGAGATGCCTCTGAGCATCTCCCTTCTGCTCTGAGCATTGGTTAAAGGAGGACGAGTACTGAGGAACGGGAGTGGAGGCAGAGTGGTGGAATTCCCAAATAACAGGAGCATGAAGATCATGAATGCCATTTTCGGATTGAAGGAAATCCGGAGAGGGACGAGAATAAACCAAGGACGAGATGGACTCAGCGCGCCTCATCCTCGCAGGTCAACAGAGAACTGAAAAAAATGTGACGGCTCTCAACCGCGAGATGAAGGACTTTATTCATGTGAAGAGTGAGAGGAGGGAATTCTTGAACAGGAAACAAGCCGACATGAAAACCGGGAAAACCGATGAGAAGAATTTGAGGAAGCCCCGAGATTTCCCGAGATGGAAGCGCTTTTTCCGGATTTCACCTTTCCGGCATCACCTTTACGAAATCTGAACGAATCTAAACGAAGCGTTACTGCCACCATCACGGTCGCGAAGAAACTGCAAAACAACCTCTCATTTAAATCAAGAAACGGCAGGACTAGTTAGCACACGAGTGGGTTTGGATTACTTTCGTACGTTGCTGGGAGGTGGAACATTTTTTCGTTCCTCTGACATGGAAGGAATGGGATCTCAGAACATATCCCCAGTCCTCGTGTTCGTGAGTCCTTCGCCCTGCAGGGATGAGAGATGACGACGATGGTGCCGGAGGAGTTCCACGATCACGATCGTAATCGATCGGCTTATTGGCAATGCGTATTACCTCTCTTCAACCCCTTCCCGTAACAAAATTCGACCTCTTGGTATTCCTTTCTGAGAGCAACAAGAACGAAACTAGGCATGCTTCTTACGTTCTTAGCGCAAAATCGCTCCAACAAATTTGAAGCTCCATCCCCGGGGTTGAGAACACTCCATCTCGCTGAAAACTGAAAACAAACCGCAAGAACCATTCATTTGAATCAGAAAAGGCAGGATTAGTTAGCGTGCGAGCAGTGGTTCACATTCGTACTCGGCTAATAGATTGAAATTTTGTTCAATCCTCTGACATGCTAAAACTTCACCGGAGGGGAGGAACATATCGACCGGCCCTCGTATTCATGAGGAGGCCTTCGTCCTGCAGTGAAGAGATAGTGACGATAGTACGACTCGAAACCGGTCGCGGGCACTGGATCTATCTCGAAAGACTAAGTCGAATAGAGGAAGCGACGAAGCAAGCGAATTCTCCAAACAAAAGTTCATGGAACTCTTAGATGCAGTGTTTAGCTGGTTGGAATACGCCACGAACCCGTTTGTCTCCATCGTAATTGCCTGCCTCCTGTATCCTATGGTATATGTTTATACTCCTGTAGTCGACCGGATACACACTAATTCTGACTTCGTCGAATCTATTTTCTGTGACGCGATTCTTGCAGATGTGAGGAAAGTCGTTCGACCGCCGACCAAAGTGTCTGCCATCGGGCATTACAGGTAACTTCCATCACTCACCGTTTTTAATTTTGTAAATATTTAATTTCGCTCTTGTGTGTGAGAAACATGGCGCGGTTTCCACACGAAATTATTCTCGGAATGGCTTGAGAACCCCTTGGTTCTCTCGATACTCCCGGCCGGCGACAGGCGGAAGGACACGACGACGATGTGAATTCTTACTTTCACGTGTCGATCATTTTCCACGATTTGATTCGACGCAGCCCGGCGATCATGGTGAACGATCGGCAGCTATGGCTCGCCGGCCTCGTCGGCTTGGATCCGGAAACAGGGGATTTGGTCTCAGACGATGTGGCCGATCAGACTCGCCAGGCTCTCACGAACATGGGTTCCGTCCTCGAGCACGCCGGTGCAAGTTACAAAAACGGTACAGTGACAATCTGGTCTACTTCCACCTCACGCCGAAAGAGTCCCACCATCGGAATAATTAGATCTGGATGCATTTCTTCCTGTGGAACGTGATAGTGGTGAAGACGTCGGTGTTCTTGACCGATATCAATGACTTCCAAGCCATGAACGAGGTCTACAAAACCTGTAAGTCCAACCCTCGGCTTTTTAAACATTCTGCATTGCTTAGTTGAGCGGTATCGGATCCATTTGTCCCAGGCCAATGACGTTAAACCAATTTTATGCCGCGAATCACCGAACCCGATCCACATATTAAAGCGATCCACAAGTGCGTGAAGGACCATAAATAATACAGTCGTGCGAGTCGAAAACAAATCTTCGGGCACAAATGAGAAGGCGCTTATGAGATAGCACAGAATCATAAGTGAGAAGAGGAACATGTCGCCACGTTCACAGCTTCATCGTGACATCGCCGAGAGACCAGTGTGACCCTCCAACTGAAGACTTAACCCTAGAAGCGGCAACTGTCGATTTTTCGACACTTTCGAATTTCTTCATTTAGTTCTTCTAATCTGCTAACAGATGGCATGCCATGCTATTATTTTGAGATCCTAGACATCCACATCAACCAATGATATATAACTATGCCATATAATTTTATTAATTAGATGATATATAGATTAATTCATTGAACAAGTAAAAATAAAAATTGCTACCAGGACAGGGTTTAACCTTGTCGCTTCTAGGGTTAAAGAGTCCACTAAGGATAGATTCTCTTGAAATTAGCAGGAAAGAGGTGAAAATAAATTCTTTTACTTAACGAACGTTTAGTGGGAACTCCTCAGACCAACAACTGGAAATTTTGACCCTCTGGGATATCCATTCTAGCAATCTTTCGAGAAATCCCGGCGTGGTGGAAAATGAATGCGTGGGAAAGGATACGATTGGTTGCTTTGAAGCTGTGGATGTGAATCTGGAACGTCCTTTGTGCTCTCTGTAGTTGGTCAATATACTCACTGGAGGGAATTCGAGACGAGAGGGCAAGCAACAGCATTTTAAAACTCGCGCGGTTTCCTTCTTTTTCTTCGTTTTCGTGGAGGTTGGTATGAGAATTCCAGACTCTGGACTTGCAAGAGGGGATCGAAGCCGAAGGGGCTGCCCGAGAACATTCAAATTACGGGTCTTCTCGTTTGCTTCTTCCGTTTCTGTAAGGGTGAATAAGGAAATTTTGCGAGTGATGGCATTTGTATGTAGAAAAAGTTATTTTGGGATTTGGCGACAGTCCCTTTTTTTGGGTACCCTGCCATGGTCCGCTCACAAGTCTCATTCGTTCCTGTAATGGTTTCCTGTATTGGAGTTAAAGAGTAGCACAAAAAAGGATGACCTATCAGCTCATATTCCCTCTGGGGACGTCGATTTAGCACTTCTCATTCATCACGTTTATTAGTATTTCTTATTTTTTCAACTCTTTGGCTTGTTTCTTTGATCCTGTCGCGACCCACCTTTAAAAACATCGCAACCTGCTGGTTGAGAACCACTGGTCGCTGTCCTCAATCGTAACCTGCCCTAAGCAGAAGTAATTACGTCCTTGGAGTAACTAGGTGATCCATTCAAAAACTTGCCGCTATTTATTCCGTAATTTCAGCTTTCCTCGAATTCGGATTCGATTCTGCCTTTTGCATAGCATTGAAGAAACTGCTTGAATGCCGAGCCCGTGACCTTTTCGCTTGCATGTGACTCCCTTCTCTTCTCTCACCCACAGTTTTCCCGGAGAATCCACCAGCGAGATCCGCCTATCAAGTCGTTGCTCTACCCAAGGTACGTTCATCACTTCTATTTTTTTTTGGAACAGTAGAAATTCTTCTTCATCCGAGGAAGGCGGAGTCACAATCGATATAATATTTCCTCAATATGGATTCCATAAGTTGACCGTGGTAAGATGAACTTGTACTCACCAGTAGTTACTTCTGCTTCGTTTCTCTATCACCGATAAGGCCCGACTCTTTCTGCCCAGGTGCAAAATATTGAAAAACTAGCGAGTTTGTTTGCCCGAAGGGCAAACAAACTCGCTATGGTCGCGCCTTCGGCGCTCCCTTACCTNGGGGGGGGGGGGGGGGGGGGGGGGGGGGGGGGGGGAATGATGGAAGAGCTGAGCGGTCTCTCTCAAGGAGAGCAGGATACGGCAGGACTTCCTACGATTCAGTCGCGAGGAGACGAATGTAGGATGAGTTCTTTCGTGAGGAAAGTCGTTCGACCGCCGACCAAAGTGTCTGCCATCGGGCATTACAGGTAACTTCCATAATTCACCGTTTTTAATTTTGTAAATATTTCGTTTCACTCTTGTGTGTGAGAAACACGGCGCGGTTTCCACACGAAATGATTCTCGGAATGGCTTGAGAACCCCTTGGTTCTCTCGATGCTCCCGGCCGGCGACAGGCGGAAGGACACGACGACGAGGTGAATTCTTACTCTCAGGTGTCGATCATTTTCCACGATTTGATATTCGACGCAGCCCAGCGATCATGGTGAACGATCGGCAGCTATGGCTCGCCGGCCTCGTCGGCTTGGATCCGGAAACGGGGGATTTGGTCTCGGACGATGTGGCCGATCAGACTCGCCAGGCTCTCACGAACATGGGTTCCGTCCTCGAGCACGCCGGTGCAAGTTACAAAAACGGTACAGTGACAATCTGGTCTACTTCCACCTCACGCCGAAAGAGTCTCACGATCGGAATAATTAAATCCGGATGCATTTCTTCCTATGGAACGTGGTAGTGGTGAAGACGTCGGTGTTCTTGACCGATATCAATGACTTCCAAGCCATGAACGAGGTCTACAAAACCTGTAAGTCCAACTCTTGACTTTTTAAACACTCTGCAGTGTTTAGATGAGCGGTATCGGTTCGACTTGTCCCAGGCCAGTGAAGCTAAACCATTTTTATGACGCAAATCACTGAACCCGATCCCCATATTTAAGCGATCCACGAGTACGTGAAGGACCATAAAAGATACAGTCGTGCGAGTCGAAAAGAAATCCTCGGACAAAAATGAGAAGGCGCGTGTGAGATAGCACAGAATCACAAGTGAGAAGATGCACATGTCCCCATGAATAAACGCCACGTTCAAAGCTTCCTCGTGACATCGCCGAGAGACCAGTGTGAATCTCCAACTTAACCCAACTTAACTTAACCCAAGAAGCGGCAACTGTCGATTTTTCGACGCTTTCGAATTTCTTCATTTAGTTCTTCTAATCTGCTAACAGATGGCATGCCATGCTATTATTTGAGATCCTAGACATCCACAGCAACCAATGATATATAACTATGCTATATAATTTTATAAATTAGATGAACATACATTAATACATTGAACAAGTAAAAATAAAAAGTGGCCACCATCACAAGGTCTAACCTTGCCGCTTCTAGGGTTAAAGAGTCCACTAGGGATAGATTCTCACGAAATTAGCAGGGAAGAGGTGAAAATAATTTTTTTTAATTAACGAACATTTAGTAGGCACTCCTCCTGCGAACCGCTGGAAATCTTGACCCTCTGGGATATCCATTCTACCAATCTTTCGAGGAATCCCGGCGTGGTGGAAAATGAATGCGTGGGAAAGGACACGGTCGGTTGCTTTGGAGCTGTTGACGTGAATCTGGAACGTGGATGTCCTTTGTGCTCTCCCCTAAGTTGGTCAATATACTCACTGGAGGGAATTCGAAACGAGAGGGCAAGCAACAGCGTCTCAAATCTCGTGCGGTTTCCTTCTTTTTCTTCGTTTTCGTGGAGGTTGGTATGAGAATTCCAGACTCTGGACTTGTCGTAAGAGGGGATCGAAGCCGAAGAGGCTGCCCGAGAACGTTCAAATTACGGGCCTTCTCGTTTGCTTCTTCAGTTTTCGTCAGGGTGAATAAGGAAATTTTGCGAGTGATGACATTTTTATGTAGAAAAAGTTTTTTGGGGATTTGGCGACAGTCCCTTTTTTTGGTTACCCTGCTATGGTCCGCTCACAAGTCTCTTTCGTTCCTGTAATGGTTTCCTGTATTGGAGTGAAAGACTAGCATTAAAAAGGAGGATCTACCAGCTCATATTCCCTCTGGGGACGTCGATTTAGCACTTCTCATTCATCACGTTTATTAGTATTTCTTATTTTTTCAACTCTGTGGCTTGTTGTTTCTTTGATCCTGTCGCGACTCACCTTTCAAAACATCGCAACCTGCTGGTTGAGAACCACTGGCCGCTGTCCTCAATCGTAACCTGCCCTTAGCAGAGGTAATTATAATTACGTTCTTGGAGTAACTAGGTGATCCATTCAAAAACTTGCGCTATTCCGTACTTTCAGCTTTCATCGAATTCGGATTCGAGTCTGCCTTTTGCATTGCATTGAAGGAACTGCTTGAATGCCGAGCCCGTGACCTTTTCGCTTGCATGTGACTCCCGTCTCTTCTCTCACCCGCAGTTTTCCCGGAGAATCCCCCAGCGAGATCCGCCTATCAAGTCGTTGCTCTACCCAAGGTACGTTCATCAGCCCAACACTTCAATTTTTTTGGAAGGGTAGAGATTCTTATTCATACGAGGAAGTCACAATCGTTAAAATGCTTCCACAAGTTGAATTTCAGAAGTTGACCGTGGTAAGATGAACTTGTACCCACCAGTAGTTACTTCTGCTTCGTTTCTCTATCGCCGACAAGGCCCGACTCTTTCTGCCCCAGGTGCTTTCCTAAACATGGAAACAGTACGAGTGTCTCTGGCATACACAATGGAGGGGCTTGAATTTACCAGGAAATGACCTTCGCTGGGAAGGGATTTCTCCGAACGGAGAAGAAAAGAGAAGAATTCCAAACTCCACGAAAGTTCGAATAAACAAATAATGTTTAAGGCCATGCAGTAATGTTTGACAATTTCGAAGCACAATGATTTCATCTTTTCTGTGCATATGGGTAAATATCCCTAGTCTCCTTTCTCTAAGCCTAATTGAAGTGCGGCGAGATATTCTTCGAGGACTCCAATGGTCGCAGACGTTTTGACAAGCTGCATATATTAGTGATCTAATAGCATGAAATGCAACGGATTGAAAGAAAATCAAAATATTGAAAAATGAAGCAAGAACCACTTTCACAAGGAAGTCCATATATTCAGATTCCTCTTCTTAGGATTCAAGCAGTACTCTCTTTACATAGCACATAGCATAGCTATGGCTCGCGTATCGACGATTCGCGTACCGTCAATAATTATGAAATCTCCCATATTATTTTTTTCCTTTGAAGAAAAGGGAAAGGACATGGAAAAATTGTTTTCACACTACTTCACTAGCATCTGTTTTTGTGGCCCCCAACCACCACTGAAGGGTTCCATCTGCCTCCCAGCCGAATCGAGCCTGACACCCCTGCTTTGGGGTCCTTTGGGGTCCACTCTTGAGTTATCTCGTGTTGGCCTCATGATGAAGGATGGAAAAAACGATGGATGATAGTGCTAACTTATTCAAAATACTCGGACCCCAAAGAATTAATAGTAAAGTGCTCAACAAAATTCCGATTCGCTGTTTTCCTATGCCGATCTGCTCGAGATAAACCTCTTGGCTTTCTCTGAAGCCCAGGCTTCATTGGATTTGAGATCATCACTGGTTATTCTCGGCGTTCTATTGCAGAATGCTCGTGTGGAGATCGAAGCTGTAGCGATTGCTGGTGAAGTGTTGGATGTCCCAGTCATCAAACAGTGATCACACCATTCCAGTCCATTACGCGTATCCTGAAGTAGTCTGATGATGCATGAGATTCCATTTGGGGATGAATTCTCATGAGCCTGTCTTTTGATGCATTTTATTTCCATGACCATAAAGTTACCCCAAAAAAGGATTGCAAGTCATTTCATGTCTTCCATGAACAGCCCACTCTCAACTTTGCAGCAATGGCGAAATTACAAACAGATCAAGAGTGAAGCCTTGAGTATTCAACTTCTGCCTCCTCATTGGCTCAATGTTGAAATGAGACAGGTTTCAAAATGCATTGCGCATGGGCCAATCAAATGGCACATGCGGATGAATGAGCATGCACCATTTGATTACTGAAGTATTCCGTGAATCAGCAGCGTGATATCAATCCCTTTTCCCATCTCGACATAGACTCTATGCCGAGATCTGGTAAGGACATCCTGGTCTTGCGGAAGGATGGAGAAAGCAGAGTGATTGCAGCCAAAGATGAGGTGGCTGTCAATCACTCCATGGATCCTTTCACGCGACCCGCGAAAATATGTTGAAATACTTTCTATAACAAAGAAGAGGGTTTCATGGAGTATTATCAACACGTGAACTTTGTTCTCTCTGTTCCCCGGGCCAGAATTACCATGGATCTCATTGGGTTGTGATGCCTCTTTTGCCGAATGTATCCAGGAATTCGAATACCTTCCCCAGTGTCGTCTGTGAATAAAATATCAAGTACTGTTCAAAAAGCACTGGAGACGCGTGCCAGATGCAAATATGAGTTAACTCCCAAAGTTGGCGATTTCGTCGCCATCTCACATCGGGATCGGGAACCCTTCTTTGTCCGAATGTCTCGTTAGATGTCTCGTCCGACATACGTTGAGGTAACGTTGACCGGGCAATTACCTTGCAATTTTTATATTTTCAACATTGCATCAATGTGACTATGCATTGGATCGTCAGCATCAACATCCTTTCAACATCGTCAACATATCAACGTTGAGTAAATGTTGTCGTGCCGACTGGGTTCCTCTGGAGGAGTAGAATTCCAGATGCTTTCTTGAAGCACACATCTAGTTCACTCAGCGAACGGGTTTCACATCTGGCCTTATTTCCCATCGATCTTCCGCCTCTATGGAAGAAGTCAGAGGCAGACTCGCAGGCGGGTTTAATTCTCTTTCATATCCTTTGGAGATGCAAGCTGCTGACAGGCGCCAAGTCCCAAGTCTATGCAATAATAGCCGACGATGTTAGGTGCGTTGGTTTGGACTTGTGTTCTTCCACCCGAGGCCTGCACGCGTAGACTTTTCCGAACCAGCAAGATGGGCCCAATTCAAATCTTGGCGGAAACAAGTTTACTAGGCTAGGACGCTTTCTTGCAAGCGTTGGGGTCCAACCTCGCTTCTTTCCTGTTTCTCATGTACATGGGCAGGCGTCGTTTGAGCCCAGAGAGAGTCACGATCAATAACGTCGAGGTAAGAATACTTGGTCTTCGATCGGCTAGTGATTCCTGATTTTGCTAAGAGAATGAGGCCAAATCAGATATCTTACATTTTAATCATTTTAAATTACTTAGTTTTTAGTTTTCGAAGTGCATCTTTACGTTAATGCCAATTTACTACATTCCTCTAAACTACTGGTGGCAAACTTTCTTTTCCCTCCACACAAACTCTTGGCCTTGCTTCGTATGCCAAATAAGTAAATTCGAAATTGTGAGCTAATGTACTGGAGTACATTAGCTCACAATTTCGAATTTCGGTGCCTTTGGACTTCATGTGAAAATAACCTATTGTTAACCTGCGGAATTCAGCTTTATATATTAATTAAGTAGTTGTTGAGCTGAGCTGAGTTGAGTTGTTAAATTGAAATGAAAATAAAGAAACTCCTTCATCCCAGAGTATAGAAAAAATTCACATCATTTGTCCTGCAATTTTTGCAATGAATGCAATACATCACACCGCACGTTGTGTTGAAAAGGGCAGAGAAGCTTCTTAAGCCTTTCCTCCAGGAAAAGGTGACGTCAAGAGGCTGCCTCTTTTCGCCTGATGATTACTGTGAATGAACCACTGAAACACAAGTGGCAATAAAATCTTGCTCATGGAGTTGGATCCTCACTGGGTGTTGGTGCTCCGTTCCATTGTAGAATCTTTGCCCGGAGATGAACCTTGGGACTTGCGTGCCATATTCGAACCAACAAGCACTGATGAGTCGGATTTTAACTTGATAAAATTTTACCTTTGAGGCCAATTTGCATCAGCATTTTGTTCCAAATGCTCAAAAATAAAACCAAAATCATGAATTAAGTTGTTTCTTGTCAACCTTTAAAGAAAAGAATTACAAAATTTTTTTTAAAAACCTTAACCTGCAGAATGTCAACATTATCACAAGAATCTCTCAAGAGTTAAAAGAGGAAGTAATATCTTCAACAACTAAGAACCTGGGTTTGCATTGTTAACAGTAGTATGAGGTAAATAAGACAATGGGGGAGCTAAATATCAGGGAAGAACCGATTCATTGACTTCTTGTAACCCTGAGATGACTTTTCAGCGGTTGAACTAACCAGCACCAGTGGATTCACCAGCTGCTAATCGCTGGGAAATCCTACTGGGGCATGCTACCAGGATTTGCCCATGAATGCAACCAATATTCTAATTATCAATGAACTGTTTTAATCAGGAGTTTTCATTCACAAAAAATGTAATACAGTTTCATTGGGTAATGAGGTGAGTAAAAAAATATTTACAAGATCTCTGTAACTGGAAAGAAAATGTTTGGGTGTCCAAACTAAAAATCATTTTTAAAAAAGTATGTGTTTTGCAGTTATGCTTTCCCTCACATACTGGTACAAGAAAGGTGTATCCTGACTCCATATCCAACAGAAGTTTTTAAATTCAAAGTTTTATTCATAGCCAGCCCGTGGAAATCGTTGATCCATCCTTGCATTGTTTCCCACCGTTTCCTCATTTTATTTCAATTTCTATGCTAAACAAGGGGTGTAACTCAAAAGTAGAATGTTTCTTAATGTGATCGACCCGACCTATACTTCTTAGCCATGTTTTATCTTTAACAGCTTCTTGGTTCACTGGAGCAAAGAGATTTCAAGGTTATTTCCCCAAGTAAAAATTTTTGCTCTGTGGAAATGGACACAAAACATGAAATGGCTACTTCTGTACCAAGTTTCTATCGTACCTTTTACATGGTTAGAATGGTTAGCGTCAATAACTCACTCAGTCAGTCACGATCGTCTATACACCTTATATTACAGATATTGTAGATTCACAATATAATTACTATCATTTTATTCACCTCAATATGACGAAGAAAGGGAACCTCTCTCTTCTAAGGACTAGGCATGTACTTTTATCAGCAGTGTAATACAGGCATGGCAAGCGGCAGGATTGATTACCAAGGAGAAGCGGAATTATTGACTTTGAATGTATTCAAGAGCATTTAATCCACTTCTTCAATAACGGGAAACCCCACCAGCAACCCCAGTGCCTGTTGCCTCCTGGTACATCTTCATGATGGTGAGAATGGGATTACATAGCCGTTCAACTTCCGTTCGTTTGTGCTTAAACTCTTCCTCTTCTGCCATCTTGGAATAGAACAGTCTCTGCATCAGAAAAATGCATCTACAATTACGACTGAATTAAATGTCACAGTTGGGGAACACACCTGATTCCCATCTAGCCATTTCAGGCTTTCGTTGTACTTGAGGAGTATGGTGTACTTGTACCATTTGAGGATATTATCCATCTCCTCATCCTCCACGATGTCCTTCATACTAAAGACAAAGGACTCGAACGAGTTCATGGCTGCTACACGACCCCTTTGAGCATCGTCCTCCTCTTTATATTTCTCGGCATCCTTCACCATTCTCTCGATCTCCTCTTCGCTCAATCCCCCTGTATGAGTATACTTATGAAATTTCATAATTTATTTTAAGAGGGAAGGCTACAGTAGATGCATGTCAGAAACCTGAAGTTTTAAAATCGTTCTGGTTCTTTAAATCAAGAAAGCAAAACCATACAATGAAATTCATAACAAAGTTGTAGAGCTGTTCATCCAAAGAACGCTTCACTCCTTCATTTGGAGAGAAAAGGTCGTTTCTCGTTTTGAAACTTCAAACACAATTTATTTTCCTCGTCATACTGGAATCCAGGGGTCTGTTGTTCGTCTCTGCTAAACTTAATCTAAATCTAAGCTCATTTTAATATTGATCTAAATCGAAAATCAGCCTAGACTTAATCTAACTCTGAAAAAATTGAATCTAAAAGTGGTCTTTCAATGTGCTGAATGACCGCTTTAAGTTTCAATAACGTTTAAGTTCAGATTCAGCTTAGCAGAGGCGAGGAACCCAGGTCTAGCTAAGTCGATTCCTGCCTGCATTCAAATTTACGATGGCACCAACCTTCGTTCTTGGCGATGGTGATCTGCTTCTCTCGGCCAGTGGACTTGTCCATGGCAGACACTTTGAGGATCCCATTGGCATTAATGCCGAAGGTCACCTCGATCTGTGGGACCCCTTGTCGAGCTGGCGGGATGCCAGACAGTTCGAATCTCCCTAGTAGATGCTGCAGCAAGGAAGGCATCCCTTACGAAAAGGTCCGATAGGAATCTCATATCTCATCGTTTTCATGAACCTGAAACGCTAATAGGATTCCTGTATATTCCTATCGAAATTCTAAAGGACTATTTAACGGTCCCCTGATCGACAGAAAAAAGAAGAATGGGAACGAGAGGAGAGGCACAAGTTTACCATAGAATGTGAATGGCCTATTTCCATTCCCTGAAATCTGTTTGAAATCTGAAATCGATCATGGTACTGTTAAGACAGTTGGATTTAGTTTACGTTCACGGGCTCGGATTGCAACACGATACTTAACATGATACTTGTTAAGGGACTCTCGAGATTGCTGGACTTCGGCTGCTTGGAGACCTGCCGCTCTTACATTAAACTCCTTCATTACATTATAGTCCGCTTGGAAGGGAGCAATAGGAACCTATTGCCCTTCCAGTGGTTCAAGCAAGGGTGCCTTATTCCTGGCTTTGAAACATTTTCTCTCTCTCTCCCCCTCCCTCTCTTAATCTCTCTCCCCCTCTCCCCTTCCATACAGTATATATGTGGTATATGTATATACAGGTATATGTATTAGATGGTCACTGGTCAGCTCAATGATGAGATTCAAATTACTGCCATGAATCTGTTGGAGCTAACGGTCTTCGGTGAAAGCTTCTCAATCTGCAGTAGTCGAGATGGTATTCACTCGATTGGTCTCACATTCCCTGCCCCGTTGGGTGTAACTTTACTGTAACTACATCAACCGATTTTGACAAAGAACATGTCCCTTCTCAGAGAAGGGGTTGCTAACTTCTTTATACAATTTCTATCCCGTATAGGTTGACGAGGTTCGAGGAAATAGCCTCCTGAAAAATATTCTGTCTCTTTGAATCACACTGTACAATTTACTCAATAATTAAATAGGACTCACGTTGTCTTTGGCCATGAAACGCTCCCCCTCGTATATTTCAATAAACAAAGAAGGTTGGTTATCATAATGAGTAGTAAAAGTCTTGGCCTGCCAATAGGGGATTTTGGTGCTGCGCTTGATGAGAGTGGTCATCACTCCTCCATCTCCCAAAATCCCCAGAGACAATGGAGTCACGTCTACCAGTAGAACATCCTGTACTTTCTCATTCTTGTCTCCATGCAAGATGGCTGCCTGAAGTTAACATATGAAGACAAAATCAATATTACATTGACTCGTCGACTCGGTGAGGGCATAAAAACATCACAAGAAGTCATTGATTGCCAATATAATGCAGAATCACACTGGGGTTATAAGGACCTCGGCAGCATACCTACGTAGGGTCAACGTTGGGCCCATGTTGGAATTCCACATTTGCGATGTAGGCCCAACGTTGGTTCCCAACCTTGGGGCCCAGTTGCACCCCAATATTGGATCAATATCAATTTTATATCAATAATAATTTTAATACCAATGAATATACATATTGGGCCGGTATTGGCATCAATCTTCGACCATTATTGGGATTGCTACATGGAAAAACATCAGGCCAATTTTGGCGTTAATATTTTCCTTAAGTTCTTTATCCAGTGGAGGCATTTCTATATGCAGTACTAGTACGGCCTGGACCAGTACAACCCCAATACACATGTTAGTCCCATGGAAGGGCAGGAGACAGAACAGTATTTATGCAGTGGTTGATTTTCTCTAAAAGGACTAATTGTAATAAATTTTAGGAGAAGGTCCATTCTTTACTGTTCTATGGCATATAATTCGGACTTACGTTTCCTCACTAAGACCTCCGGATGCAAAAACAGAGAATGGTGTCACGGAATTATTTCCCTTGTTCTAATATTCCTTTGGCATGAGAATATTCTGTGTTCGTAGGGGTTTTCAATGGGAATATGAGCTTGGTTATTTCCTGGACTCCATGATTCTGTCTCGAATATGCAGATAACAAAGGATGAATTGTCCTATTTTATTAATTGCTATAATGAGACTAGGCGAGACATATGGCGAGGTACTAAACACTCTGGTGAGGGACGATTACAGGAAAAGAGGGAAGGGTACTTCTGTGCACTGTGCGAAAAGCGAGGCCTTTACCTCCATCTAGGGGCCTGTTGGAGAACTTCAGCATTTCCCAAAAACTTTAAAGTGCGGTCGGACACATTGAATTATCGCGTCGGTCCAATATTGGCTCGATGATGGAACGGCAATATTGGGGAGTCAATATTTAGCCTATATTGGCAATATTGGCGTAGGTGGAGCCAATGTACCCATTATTGTCAAGCATAGAGACTATCTGGTGCTACTGAGGTCGTACCCAAGTATCACCAGATATTGCCTCAATGCTGGACCAACATGGGGTGTTACTGGGGTAGGCCTGTCCCGCGGCCCTACGTTGGGCCAACGTCAAAGCCAACGTGCTGCATGATATTCAGGGGATTAAAGGAGGCTTCGATTGAGACTATATATTTCCGCACGCAATTGTTCAGCTACCCTACCAGGGGACCTTGCCACCGAGTCTCTCTCGGTCGGGCTGGAAGTACTCCAGGGAATAGTACTTCCTCCAAATGTCATCTTTTGAGCCCTCCACTTTCCATATCAGGATTTTAACCCCATTGTGATTTCATTCATCACCCATGGATAATGTTTTCTTTTATCCTCCGTATATCGAGTGAAGCCCCAATTTGAATCATACTTCCTCCACGATTAACAAGAGTCAGTTTGGACTCCTTAACCTGTTTAAACAAATGAACTGAGAAATTCGAGTGTCTTCCTTCGAGTGAGGTTCTCAATGGAGATAGATCTAGTACCGCAAGAAAGGAACTGGGGTCTTAAATTAATGAGTAACTCATTGATCCCACTGAAATAGCGGCTGCTTAGCCGCCATCTTGCATCAAGTGTGTGAAGCTTTTAGTTCTAATAGTGTCTACATACCCGCCATCTCACTCATTCCGTGAGAAGTTTTTCGTTCAAATGAGTTAGATGTCTCATCCTGAGACATGACAAATGTTGGCTGTCGCCCTAGCGCTGATGCTGGGCCTACTCGTACATTGGCAGCCCACTGTGATGTTGACCCAGGCTTCCCCACATGCAGCCAATTTTGGCCCAACGTTGTGTGCTACCTTGACGTCATTTCGGAGATAAGAATGTAGCGTTCAATAAACGGACGATACATGATCCTCACTTGAATGGCAGCACCATAGGCCACAGCTTCATCAGGATTGATGCTTTTTTTTACTTCCTTGCCTTTGAAGAAATTCACCAAGAACGACTGGATTTTTGGAATGCGAGTCGAGCCACCGACGAGGACGATCTCGTGAATGGATGACTTATCCAGCTTGGCATCTCGGAGAGCCTGCAGAGATACTTAAAGTGAGGACAATCTGGATCAAGATTCCAGTCGTTCGAGACTATCCAGCTTCTTACTATCTCAACTGGTTCCATTGTGGAGCGGAAGAGATCAGCATTGATCTCTTCGAAGCAGGCACGAGTGATGGAAGTGAAGAAGTCAGTGCCCTCGAAAAATGAATCAAGTTCAATAGTAGTCTGAATAGATGAAGACAGAGCGCACTTAGCGCGTTCACAAGCCCTGCGCAGACGACTTAGAGCTTGCTTGTTCTGGCTCATGTCTTTCTTGAACTTCCGCTTGAATTCCTATATGAGTAGAGAGGATGCATAATTGCGATTAAACAAAATAAGGAAACAAGGTACGAGACAAGGGCATTTATTTGATATGCCACAACTTACCTGAACAAAGTGGTCGACCATTCGATTGTCGAAGTCTTCACCACCTAGGTGAGGATGACCAACGGTGGATTTCACTTCAAAGATTCCATCTTCAAGGGCCAGTATGGAGATGTTAAATGCACCACCGCCGAGATCAAAGATGAGGACATTGCGCTCTCCTTCTTTCTCATCGAGACCGTAAGCAATGGCAGCAGCGGTGGACTCGTTCATGATGCGTAGCACGTTCAATCCCGCAATGGTCCCTGCATCCTTGGTAGCCTGTCGCTGAGAGCCATTAAAGCAGGCAGGCACTGTCACGACGGCATCAGTCACCGTTCTTCCAAGATATGCTTCAGCAGTTTCCTTCATCTTCGAGAGCACCATGGAACTTATCTCCTCAGGATAGAAAGTTTTGGTCTCCCCCTTGTATGCAACCTCGATGCAAAATCGACTCAGGTAACCCTGACCTCCAGCCTTTCACAATAATTCTGCATGGTGCTTAGGACAAAATTCATGCCTACCCGAATCTTGGGCTTTCCGCCATCACTAAAAACAGTGAAGGGCCAATGCTTCAAGTCATGCTGAATGGAAGGGTCATCAAATTTCCTACCGATGAGTCTCTTGGCATCTGAAAAGAAATAATCTTTTAGCGAAATAAATGCACACAATAGGCTAATTTGCGTTAGTTTGGCAGAAGGGTTATATCCAACAATGACCTTACCAAAGACTGTGTTGTTAGGGTTCAAGGCAATTTGATTCTTGGCACTGTCCCCAATCAGACGCTCTGTGTCGGTGAAAGCAACATAGGAGGGAGTCGTTCGATTTCCCTGATCGTTGGCGATGATTTCCACCGTTCCATTTAGGAATACTCCAACACAAGAGTTACAGGTTCCCAGATCGATTCCAATAGCAGGCGCTTTGGACTTATTGGAAGCAAATCTGAACTGCCAGTAAAAATAATAATGTATCTTGAGAATAGGAGTGAGGGGTTGATTAACTCAGCACGAACACTCTGAACAAGAAAAATAATTTTTCTTTTTATGACGAAAATTGGCCCCTCTCGTTGGAAGTTCGCTCTATCATTGCATTATGTACTAATGTGAAAACAATTTTTCAATGCCTTTCCCTATCTTCAACCCCAACATCACCTCCCCCCTTTCAATATGGAACTCACTAACGTTAGACCTAGGCCTAACCGGTGGTCAGTCGTCTGGTCAAGCCCAGACCTACATTTTTTCGTTCAAATGGAACTCAATCCTCGACTTACTGGGCCAATTAGGCCTATAAAAATTATTCCCTGGTCTTTGAGATCTCGTCGAGGATGTGTAACGTTAGGTCAAATGCAGGCCTATTCACTCTTTAATGGCCTCTTAATAGAGTACTTGTAACGTTGGACAGATTCGAAGTCTGTTTCGAGTTTCACGAGCCATTTAAGTACGGTAGATTAACTTTAGGCTTATCTAGAGCAATGGCGGCTCGAGGGTGGAAAAATTGGGTAGGTAGCAGTGGTGCAAAAAAAAAGAGGAGGGTGCGGTCCTCCCCCAATGATTCCTTTGCATCCATATGATCCTCATTTCTATTCCTATTGACCAATGCAGCGTCCTCCTAAGATAGTAGCAGGCACATTCGCTCCTCTTTCAATCTCGCTCAGCATCCCCTCCCCCACCCACCACTCTCCAGTCTTTTCTGAGGGTCACCCCCCTCCCCCCTTCACCCCTTGGCTACAGGCTTGACATAAGTTTAAGATTTTTGCATCCAAAAATTGCAAATCCAATCGTACATAATCAGAACTATTCATCAAGGAAATTACTTGCATCAGAAAGGAAAAGTGACGAAGATTTAAACCTTCGATGAATGCAACTATATCATTGGAAGACACCCCAGGGATGCGAAGCACTGTCAGTCTAATAACACATCACTTGGAAACAGTGCCTCTTCCAGGAGAGAGCATCAACGAATGTGGGGTAGGAATTGGGAACTGAGACTGATAGAAGCCTGTTCGGAATGATTCCTTATTCCGTCTGCATAATACTGTAGAATAGGTCTGATCAGGTGTGACAACCACACGGGCTTCCACAAGCACATGTTCTGAGCAGAGGGTGTGAGCAAGCGATTCTAAACCTTCCTTCCTGCGCAAGGTGTAACTGCGCACCGTAGGCGGGCCTATTCTCATTCCAGTGTTGTAGCTCTCTTCCCCTCTCTCTCCTCTCGTTCCTGCATTGGACTCACAGGAATTTGAGCCTAGCCAGCATTGGCAGGCAGCGCTATGCCTACTCTGAGATTTTTTTTTTTCTAGAGTCAATTTGATCCCACAATACCAGTATCACAATAAATAAATAAAAAAAAACAAGAAAGTCAGTTGAGGGTTAAGGAGAGCCCTATATCATCCTCAGTTTTATCATACGTGAAATCTGGGCTCCCGGCCCAAATGGTTTGATGGTCCTATGATTATCCCTGACATATTGCCAATTGCAAAATAATACTGTATTAATTGCAAAAGGAGCAACATATGTACTGTATACTAGCTGCGCCCGCGATGCGACTCTTGTTCCAAGAGGTGATTAAATCCCGGAAACCATGTGATAGAGACTAAGCGGTACGATAATAATTTCGTTCACAAAAATTAAAAAACTAACACGATCCTCAGGTCATCTTGACTGCGCCAGGCCAGGTCCATGAGCCACCAGGAAAGTCAGGATTCGTTTCTAGCCCGTGGTTTCCTACGGCAAGTCATGCCGATACAGCATGATAATCTATGTAATCAGATATGGATGGATATATAGGTACGGCGTCACTCCTGGAAGAATGCATCAGGAAGATGTGCAGATATGAGAGAGAGGGAGGTGGTGCTCTTCTCAATTTATTCTTGCGACCGTCGCACGCCGAGTTATGGGAGGCGAAAATGATAGAATTTTGATCACTTCCGAGGCGGGATCCTGATGTCAAAATGAGCATGAGTTTTTAAAAGAAAGTCGAAAATCCCGGGTGGAAGCCCTCGCCCTACGCAGAGCTTTTCAGACGGACGGACACTTGCCGATTGATGTATAACACGAGTTTGTTTGCTCTTCGGGAAAACAAATTCGCTATTGTCGCGCCTTCGGCGCTCCATTACCAGGATAGTGATTCATTCAATAATTAATTTTCAAAGTGGCAAAAACCTATTAAAAGTATGTGCTATCGGAATGCGTAACGAAAAAGAACAAACCGATACTTTCATCGGAATAATTACATTGTTTCTTGTGTGCCTAACTTCAAATCTTTTCATAATCTGCCCTGATGGGTCATATTTGAAAAGTAGGACATGTAATCATCAATCGAACAGGTACTTCTGTTCAAAGTTTGAACTTTCCTTAGTTCTCTCCTTCATTGAATCAGAAAAGTTTCCGGATAAAATAACTTTTTCAAAAAATATATGTCCCCAGGGCATGTATCCCAAACTCGACATTTTCCTGATCTCAGTCTCAGAAGGTACGTCCATGTCACGTTTCAGCTTTCCATGTTTATCCATTTGATTTAAGCAAAAAAAAAATATTTGAAAATATCTCCCCCTAAAATTTGTGCCTCCAGGGCATTTACTTCTAAAGCCTGAATTTTTCAGAATTCAGATTCTCATAAGGTACTTATGCATCAAGTTTCACCTTTCTATCTCTGGCCAATTCGCTAGGACAAAAAAAATTATTTGAAAACGTCACCCCTGAAAGGTGGGCCCCAAGGGTATACATCTGACAGGTGACATTTTCCCTGAAATTTGTGTCTCAGTAGGCACGTCCTTGCCAAGTTTCAGCTTTCCATGTCTCTCCGTTTGACCGAAGCAGACACATATCATTGAAAACATCTTCTCCCAAAATGGGTGCCCCCAGGGCATGTACCTCCAAAGTCGGATTTTTTCTGAACTCTGTATCCCAAAAGGTACATGTGTACCAGGTTTCAGACTTCTAACTTCTCTATAACATGGTTAGAATTAGCGTCAGTCAGTCAGTCACGATCATAGTGTCGAAGAACATTCAGTCCTGGAAGGACTGACCTCATAAGTTCTCGGTCGATGTTTTCTGTGTTATCCAGTTCATTTGTGAAACACCCTCTTAAAAAGAGAATCTAACGAAGTACCATATCAAAGGAAATATCAAGAGGGAAACTCTTACTTTTCATCCGAGCCCCTCCGAAAGACCAAGGCCTACAACCAGTGGAGTATTTTACGGGGGGGCAGAGGGGGTAGCCACCCCCCTGGCGCCCCTGGGACAGAACTTGGTGTTCCCTTGGAGGTAATAATTTCCCCTATCTGGTATAGTTCGGGTGGGGTTTGGCGTCCCCGCGCTGTTGCCCTGCCCCCCCGACCCCTCAGCAAAAATACGCCACTGCCTACGACTGAACATATATCGCTTGTGCAAATGACGCCCTCACTGCCTGCTCTTTTCTGAGATATTTGCTGGAATTCCTCAATTGTTTCTGCTCCCTCTGGTCTTCTCATTGCATGGACCAGGTAGACTTAGGCCTATCTTTCTGTCCCTGACATTACAATACAAAAAAGTTGAAGGAAACCGCGAGAGTAAGATTTCAGGGTAAAGTTGGTAAGTTTCAGGCAGTATTTCTTTTACAGTGTGTCTCAAAATAAATGTATCTCATGACTTTGTCTACATGTGCTTTGATAACTTTGATACTTTTCATAACTTTGATAGCTTTGATAATGTAATTTCTTGATATGGGTTTACCCCCATTTGATTCATTGGGAGATCCTGCCGGTGACAAAAAAACGCAACTCCTTTGGATTCTATGTTAGGTAGTTAAAGATCTCTTTGGCAATGAAAGGAAGGAGGGAATTAGAATTTTGGAAACACTCACATTTGCTTCGTTCTGCTTGGAGTTCTCACTTCCTGTCGGGGTTTCTCCTTTTTTCGGCCACAGCTGGCGAAAATGTGAATAGAATGGAAATGTCAAGCATAATGTTATTAATGAGAATTTTTGTGGGTAGTGGCTCGTAATATTTATCGATAATGATTCGTCCATGGAGAGAGGGCAGGCAGGGGAGGGTCTGCCCTCTCTGCACTGCCTACTCCCTCTCCACTGGTCTATACCAGTGGTCCCCAAACTCTTTGATGCAAGGGTCTCATGGTACTTTGGTCCACCAAGTGTGGGCCGCGCAAATAACTTTAATCCACCTGGATTGGGCTGCATTGAAAAAAGATCCAGCATTTCTTCATTGTTAACCCTTCATCTGGCATTTGACCTCTTGGTCAAGCTACTCTACACCAGGAAGTCCCGTCTAAAAAATGAGCAACAACCGCAAACTGCCTATTCCAGCTGAGAAATAAGTATGCATTAGATGATTAGGGCAGTAGCAGCACCTCGATTGGCTTGTATCGGCTGGGTGTGACTCCGTCAGAGTCCGCCTCAGGAAATTCATGTCTAGACAGGGAAGGAAGGAGAAACGAGCCAGACAATGAAAAAAAAAAGAAGTTGATTAACCTTCTTCAGGATGAAAAAGGACGACTTTGTTCAGAAAACAAAGTGTCCTTTTGGTTGGGTTGTCCTTTTTTTCAATAACCTACTTATGTAATCGTCGGATTGCTGATATGCTCTGCGCCATAAATCTACTGTGTAGACCAGGGGTGGGCAAACTACAGCTCGCGGGCCGCATCCGGCCCTCGAAAACATTTCGACCGGCCTGCTAGCAGTTACCGTGCAGTAAGGAAATGCGACCTGCGGTGGCAGGCCTGATACCCCTCCCAGTTTTGTTTGCTCGGCCGGCTCGGCCGAGCGTGACAGTGAATGTAGAACATATGTAGAAGAATGTGACAGCGACAGTGAATGTAGAATCTTCAATAAGGAGTGGACTACGAATTATTTCTTTACGGACGTAGGCACAAATGATGTGTGCTTCATTTGCCACGAGAGCGTGGCGGTTTTCAAGGAGTACAATGTGAGTCGCCACTTTAATTCCAAGCATGCAGGCTTTTGAAGTACAGGTAATCTGTCGGTTGATGAAATGACTAAGGAAATTCAAGAACTCCTGCTGGAGTTACGAAAACAGTAGAACGTGTCCAGTAAACAAAATGCTCAGCTGTAACGAAGGCCTGCTTTGTGGTGCACACAAAATGGCGAAACATTGTGGCGGGTGCTATTGAGGAGCACCAATCCCCTACCTCTCACACAATGAAGCACAGAGTGGCCTATGCTTCATCCCAAGGGAGAACAGATAGTACCCGAAAGCGGCCGGGTGAATTGTCAGCCCAGGAGAATACCGCCTGCCGCCGGTCAGACTCGAACCTGGACATCCCGCATGCGCCTGGGCCCCTATCAACTGAACCACGTTGACGCGGTTAGGGTAGAAAGATTAAGCTATCTATCATTTTATGTATGTGACATGTCTTAGAACTCGTAGATTTCTGCTCACCTCTCTGCGTGTCCATATTGGATGCGGAAGAAGAAAGTA